GCATCCCTTAAAACCTCCTCAACGCGTCACTCGGTTCGATCCTCCAAGCAGTTTCACCCAGAACCATCCAATCTTATCTAACTGCTTGGAGATGATTTAAAGCTTTCCACCCCTCGTACAACCTGCCATTTCCCGATTTCTCCCCTCTCTCAATCACATCTTTTGTTTCCTACCTTAACACCTGTAAGAACCTCCAAGCCCGGTCCATCACAGGTTATCTAAGCGGCATCCAATTTTTTTCACAAATTAATCTACGGCACCCCCTCTCCTGAAATAAACAATTCTCAAACATCTCTTTTTGATCAAAGGAATTCAGTGCTCTCATCCTCCAAGCCTGGACGCTAGACAACCGATAACTTTAGACATTCTTTCTAAATGTATCCACATTCTCCGCACAGGGTACCACTCACTTCATACCGCTTGTACACTCGACGCAATGTTCATACTGGCTTTTTTTGGTTTCCTGAGATGCTTGGAATTCACAATAACTTCTATTCAACCCCAAACTCCATCCAACTGTCTCCGACCTTTCCGTGCTCGACCGCGAAACTATCTCCTATTTCATCAAAAATTAAATCAGATCAGGAAAGAGGTCACCACGTCTAAACTTTTAGTCACCAATCCAACCCTATCAGGCCATTTTTCTTACCTCAAATTCAGAAGCTCTCAGTCTACATCCCCTCTTGACCCTCTTTTTGTCAATGACTGTAACCACCCCGTCACACGTTTTTGGTTTCAATCCAATCGACGTTTTTCTATCCAAACGATGTTCCTCGACCGCGAAACTATCTCCTATTTCATCAAAAATTAAATCAGATCAGGAAAGAGGTCACCACGTCTAAACTTTTAGTCACCAATCCAACCCTATCAGGCCATTTTTCTTACCTCAAATTCAGAAGCTCTCAGTCTACATCCCCTCTTGACCCTCTTTTTGTCAATGACTGTAACCACCCCGTCACACGTTTTTGGTTTCAATCCAATCCAATCAACGTTTTTCTATCCAAACGATGTTCAAAAACATCGTCCAACCATGCATACCCACAGAAAGACTTTCCAGCCACTCCTTCCGAATCGGGGCAGCAACTACAGCAGCTCAAAAAGGCCTCTCACAACAGCAGATCCAAGCTCTCGGTCGATGGTCATCGGACGCCTTCAAGAGCTATATCAGGACCAATAATTTTCACACTAAGAAATCCCATCTAATTCTGATCAGTTAAATGAAATTTGATGCTGCAGTGCCTGCTTAATTTGATACTGCCGCCGCAGTGCCCCGCTCATTTGATACTGCCGCTACCCTGCTTAATTTATACTGCCGCCGCAGTGCTCCGCTCATTTGATCCTGCCGCTGCAGTGGCCCGCTCATTTGATACTGCCGCCGCAGTGCCCCGATCATTTGATACTGCCGCTACCCTGCTTAATTTATACTGCCGCCGCAGTGCTCCGCTCATTTGATCCTGCCGCTGCAGTGCCCCGCTCATTTGATACTGCCGCTGCAGTGGCCCGCTCATTTGATACTACCGCTGCAGTGCCTGCTTAATTTGATACTGCCGCCGCAGTGCCCTGCTCATTTGATACTGCCGCCGCAGTGCCTGCTTAATTTGATACTGCCGCCGCAGTGCCCTGCTCATTTGATACTGCCGCCGCAGTGCCTGCTTAATTTTGATGCTACCGCCGCAGTGCTTCCATCTGTCGTTTTGAGCCCCATTTGCTTTTTCTGCATCGGACAGGGCTCTCCCTTCCGGTGCAGCAGAGCCGCAGCTCCCTTCGGACGCAGTGAGTCCCTCACCTGGCCTTCCATCGTGCTCCTTATTTGGTGGCAGGTAGGGGTTGCCATCCAACGTGGAGAGCCGCAGCTCCTGTCAAGCACCGCATGACCCCTCCCAGTCGCCCTGGCGCCACCCTACTTTATCTTCATGGCACACATATTTTTGGGGGGCTACTAACAATTTTCTCTCAGGCTGCTGTCTCATGCCATTAGCTTCTTTTGGGGAGTTCTCTGGGTTCGGGCTCTAGCCCGAGCTCGGAGCCCTCCCTCTGGACAGCACGCCAAATATGCTACTAATTGCTCAATCATATTATATGTTAGTGTGAACTCTAAGATACTGCTGTATTGAACATGGCACCTGATGACTAATTTTCAAACTTTTTTTTTTTTTGTTCCCTGTCATTTTGCTTTATTTGATGTTTGATTCATCGTGGGTTCCCTCTTATGTCATACTCGGGGGTTCCCTTAGGCATTTAGGCACATGCGCACTCTTCAAAAATGGCGCTTATTGAGCACGCGCAATAATACATAGATTAAAATGTATTTATATTTAGATTGTACTGCATGTTAGCTTGCTTATTGTGTCCAAGAATATATTTATTTAAGCCCATATCCCTTGCTAACAAGAAACTATACTTCTAACCACAGGTTGAGAGCTGTAGTTCCAACCATGTAAGTTTGCAACGCTGTTTGCGAATGTTCGTTTGAACTATGGTTTTGGGAAACACCAAATCATTGAACTATGTTGGTAACGACGGAACTTGCGACCATAGTTGGGTAACGGTGCTTTTGGGAAACACACCCCTGTATGATTGATAGGCCTGTTTCCTCATGGGGACCAAGAAATGTCCCAACAAGGTCAAAATTTACTGGTTTTACTATAGGCTACTTGTATGTTTGACACACACACAGTCACACCCCTGGACTGTTTTTGTTGTTTTCATCCTTCATGTGCTCTGTGTGACCTAGTTTCTGTCTCCCTTTGATTATGTAATTTAGTTCAGGTGTGTCTTGTCTATTATCCTCATTTACCAATGTACTTAAGCCCTAGTCTGTGCAGTCTGTTTTTGTCCGGTCTTCTTGGTTCCTACGTGTGCATCCTGCCTGTCCGTCCTGTGATTTATCCTCGTGTGGATTTATTAAAAGACTGTTGGCATCAATTGTCATCTTCTTTGAGCGTTTTATCTCACCGTAGCATCACACACACAAACAAGTGTTCCTTTTGTGGAAGATTACCACGATTATTAATGCAAGACATCACACCATGTTTTTACAAATTATATTTGTTTTAAACTACATACACAGCAATATATTTACATACATTTATCCTCCATCATCTCCAGCAGCTCAGCCTGACATCTTTTAATAGAGCGCATCAGATCACTAAAGAGCTCAGCGCTGGCTGCTTTCTCTCGCTCTGCACTTTTCTGAAATTTTTTATTTATTTTTTTTGTAATTAAATCAGCTTTTAAAAAATAATTTGATAAAATATTTTGGCAAAAATATTTAACATGACAACAAAGAAAGAAATATTCAAAGTAAAGTCATTTTTTAAAAATTATATCTTATTACTTGCTTCTATTTTGATATTGAAATATATTGACGTTAATATTGTTAGATTATTGCTTGATTGTTCAGATTTCTTAATTGTTTGATAGGCAGATATTTTAATTTTCACTTTTTAAATATTGATTTCCTTGCAAAACACAGTAACTGCCAAAAGAAAGTGTGTGCTGTATTTGATATTGACCTACCAGTTTGACTGAGTTTCTGGTCTAAAGTTTCCTGCAGTTGAGTCAGAGCTCTCCTCAGAGTCCCCACACTCACATCAGTGTTCATACTGATCTCAGGCCAGTTCCTGGTGTGTGGAGGGCTGCACAGGGATGGATCAATCTACAGCAGGAGAGAAGAGAAATCCCTCAGCGTGAGGAGTGTGAGTGTTGTCCTGTGATGAGAGCAGACAGAGAGACACTGACCTGTAGGAGCTGGAGGTGATCCTCAGTGTGTAAGAGATGATCCAGCTCAGTGTTTCTCATCTTGAGCTCAGTGATTTCCTGCTGCAGCTCTTGAATGAGCTCTTCATCCTGTTTCTCTGCTGTTTTCTGCTTCTCCTCCATCATCTCCAGCAGCTCAGCCTGACATCTTTTAATAGAGCGCATCAGATCACTAAAGAGCTCAGCGCTGGCTGCTTTCTCTCGCTCTGCACTTTTCTGAAATTTTTTATTTATTTTTTTTGTAATTAAATCAGCTTTATCAAATAAGAGCATTATTCATCAAATATTGAACATGCCCACTTTTCTGAGTTTTGCTGAGTGTCTGATGTCCTGAATCTTCCTAATTCTGTCCTGGATAATCTGCTGCACGTGTTTCTGTGTCTTCACCAGCTGAGCCTATAGACAGACATGAACATTTTATATTTTATCAAGACATATTTTATCACTTTTCTTAACATGTTTTTCCATTTCTGACAAAAGATATTGTTGGAATATTTAAAACCAGATTATTGAAGTAAGTTTATTGTATTGTTAGGAACTCGTGCCTTCTTCTTTGTACTCTCCTCCTCTAGAGGAACAGTGTTGTGAGTCTTGTGGTCTCCATCAGTGCAAAACGCACACAAACGTGTCTGATCATCTCTACAGAACAGCTCCAGAGGTCTCTCGTGTTTCTGGCATATATAAGAGAAATCCCTCAGCGTGAGGAGTGTGAGTGTTGTCCTGTGATGAGAGCAGACAGAGAGACACTGACCTGTAGGAGCTGGAGGTGATCCTCAGTGTGTAAGAGATGATCCAGCTCAGTGTTTCTCATCTTGAGCTCAGTGATTTCCTGCTGCAGCTCTTGAATGAGCTCTTCATCCTGTTTCTCTGCTGTTTTCTGCTTCTCCTCCATCATCTCCAGCAGCTCAGCCTGACATCTTTTAATAGAGCGCATCAGATCACTGAAGAGCTCAGCGCTGGCTGCTTTCTCTCGCTCTGCACTTTTCTGATTTTTTGTTGTTGTAATTAAATCAGCTTTATCAAATAAGAGCATTATTCATCAAATATTGAACATGCCCACTTTTCCGAGTTTTGCTGAGTGTCTGATGTCCTGAATCTTCCTAATTCTGTCCTGGATAATCTGCTGCACGTGTTTCTGTGTCTTCACCAGCTGAGCCTATAGACAGACATGAACATATTTTATATTTTATCAAGACATATTTTATCACTTTTCTTAACATGTATTTTCCATTTCTGACAAAAGATATTGTTGGAATATTTAAAATATGTTGTCAGTATCTCATACCCTCTTCTTATTACTCTCCTCCTCTAGAGGAACAGTGTTGTGAGTCTTGTGGTCTCCATCAGTGCAAAACGCACACAAACGTGTCTGATCATCTCTACAGAACAGCTCCAGAGGTCTCTCGTGTTTCTGGCATATATAGTCCTTCATATTCTCCACAGGGTCCATCAGTTTGTGTTTCTTTAAGTTTGGGACTCTCTGATGAGGCTCCAGATGAGTTTCACAGTATGAGTTTTGACACACCAGGCAGGACTTCAGGGCTTTCAGCTTTCTTTCATCACAGATGTCACAGAGAACATCAGTTATATTCAGAGTGAACTTTTCTTGAAAGAGTTGTACAAGCTGTCTAAGTGCTGTGTTGATCTTGAGGTCGGGTCTTTTACTGAATGTTTCTTTACACAATGGACATTTGCAGTCCTGACTGTTGTCCCAGCACTGGTTCAGGCAGCTCTTACAGAAGTTGTGTCCACATGGAGTGCTGACTGGATCAGTGAACACTTCCAGACACACTGAACACTGAAGCTCCTCAGCCATAGAACCACTGGAGGAGGACATAGCTGATAAGGAAAGAAATAATAAAACAATGTATCACCTGCAGTTTATGTCTACACAAAAAAGTAAGCAATATCACACAGTCAATATTGTTGTTCCAAATATCAGTCAGTTCCGAATATCTGTCACTGCTGAGCTTACATTAAAACCAACGGAATCAATTTTATACAACAGATCAGTAAACAGGAAATTAATATTAAGTAACTTGCATTTTAGATAAAGTGTAGTCAGTTAATGTATCTATTTTGCGCCACCCAGAGCCTCCGCCAATCAAAATAGCTCTAAAAAGGGTCAAAGAAGAAATGGGGGCCATTCTCACAGAACGCATTCTGTGTTAGGTCTACTATTCCATTATTTTTCAATGTAAACATGCATCTTTTACAATTGCGCTCACATCTCTTGTTGAGTTCAGCGCAAAATATGTGCTAAAACAAGGCGCTCAAGCTAAAAGATGTTCAATATATAGATGTATATAAAGAATATAAAGATGTTCAACCTTGAAACTAACTATTAAAGTTGTTATTGTTGCTATTATTATTATTTTGGTAATTGACTTACATGGAGGTTTATCCATATGTTGTCTCCTGGTTTGACTTGGTGAAGTTGGTAAAAATTCTGCCATTGCTCTTCTTCTCTTTGTCTTTGCAGGAAAAGGTCATAACATGTTTTTATTTCACAGGATGAAATCTGTTCATCACAGTCTCTAACACGTCTGCAAATATTTTTTATACTACTATGAATTAATGTATTAATACCAAAACTGCTACAATACAAATTAAATTCTTGGATGTGAAAGAGATTCACTCTTTCTTGAATACAGCAATAAAATGGCATAAATAAAAATTGTGTCGTTAGGTGTTTTACAACCCTAACGACAATTTTTTGCCAAAAATCTGAGACATTTTCATAGTACACAACTAAACTAGCCGAATAAACTAGTTGCTACAGTGCTTTAACCTGATTTTTCCTAGTTTTAGTTAGACATAGACGCTTATTCACATAGGCTACTTGTTTAAATTTCTCTTGCATGTCCATCACGTACCTCTGAGTATCATTCGTCTTTGCACGTCATAGAAATACATAAGCTTATTCTTTATTAAAAACCTTAAAACCAACCCAGATTGTTGTTCATAAGTTTAGTTTCACTTTCACAGAAGTTCCTCCAACGCGGAAGTAAGCCTATGGGCGAGACTTCTGGTTCATTAGCCGCTATAGGAAAATAACGAGAAGAATTACAACGTGCAGTAAACGGTAAAACTGTTTGCACTAAAAACCAGTGTGTTCATAATTAAGATAATACATTAAAATAATATGGTAAGACACACCAATAGCTGGACGTGGTTGAGACCGACGCCCATTTTTACAGCAAGAAAAATGTGTATAGGACTGGCAGAGTTGGCTTGACATTAGACGTTCGAGATTCGCAAATTTAGGGACCGTCTCTAAAGTTACATGCAACACTTTTCTAACATCAATAGCATTTGAGGAGAATGGCTTACAGTCATAAAAACAACTGTAAAGTGTCCATTTAGGTGTCAACTACAATGCACACCTTATACATAATGCATACCTTATACAATACACAATGCATACCTTATACAATGCACACCTTATACATTAGCCTTATTTATTAAAATAAACTGTAAATCATACGTAAAAAAAATTTAACTTTTCACTACCGAATGGCTCAAATGCTAAATATACCATAATTTAAAGCTCAATTGAGGAGAATGACTTAGTCATAAAAACAACTGTAAACTGTTCATCTAGGTGTCAACTATAATGCACACCTTTTACATTTTTGATATTTATTCAAATCTACTGTAAATCATATGTTTAAAAAAAATGCTACTTTTTTTCAACCGAAAGGGCTCAAATGCAGATTTAAAGCTTAATAGCATTTGAGCCTATTGAGCCTTAAATTTGCATTTGAGCACATTCGGTTGTGAAAAAGTAGCATATTTTACATAAGATTTACAGTTTATTTTAATAAATATAAAAAATTTAAAAGGTGTGCATTATAGTTGACACCTAGATGAACAGTTTACAGTTGTTTTTATGACTGTAAGTCATTCTCCTCAAATGCTATTGAAGTTAGAAAAGTGTATACCAATATCGCATGTAACTTTAGAGACGGTCCCTAAATTTGCGAATATCGAACGTCCAACTTCAAGCCAACTTTATGCCAGTTGTAAAAGGCAGTTTGTTTGTCTGTCAAATCTGACATACACTCAAGATCTGATTATCATATTTCCGGTGCTTGGCTAATTTTGGCTGCATCCAAAAACTCAGCCAACTTGCCGTGCTGCTATCAGGCATTGACTTCTGAGGCAGTTTATGGCAAGCTCAAACTGCAAATCTTTTGGCTGGCTTGCTGTCGCAGATGGATTTCCAAGGTCTGCGACGACAAAACTCCCGGATCTCAACCAAATGAGAGCTCGTTGCGGTCGCAGAAGCTCGTTAAGAATGAGAAGGAGCAGGGTTGCCAGGTTTCACAACAAAACCCGCCCAATTGCTACTCAAAACTAGCCCAATGGAATTTCGAGGGGGGCTCCCCATTGAAAATCGCATTCTGGGGGGTAAAATACACATTTTTGGCGGGGTTCCCCTGGTAAAATTCGCACTCCAGGGGCTAAATATCACGTTATCAGGGTCGCTTTAACCCGCAGACATGAAAAACAACTGGCGGCAACAGTGATAAAGTAGCCCAATTCCGCGGAAAACAGCGGACTTGGCAACAGTGAGCAGCCAGGAGGTCAGCAATGTGATCAGCACCTGTCTCGAGAATTGCCCTGCGTTCGGAAGGGCTCATCCCTATGCCCTAATCCCTTCAAAGGGTTTACCCTCCGGAGTGAGAGCTTCCAAGGGTTGAAGGGTGTAGGACAGCGGTTCTCAATTCCAGTCCTCGCGTACCCCCGCCCTGCATGTTTTGCATGTCTTAACACACCTGATTCAGATCATCATCTCGTTAGAAGTGAGCGCCGTGCATGAACTGTGTTCCAATTGACATGGTCCCTACACAGTGTCCATTGCTCCCTACTCCCTAAGCAGGGGAAATCCGTTGAAGTTTACTTCACTTCGGAATATTCATTTACAGATTTGCGTCTTCACACACATACGAAACTTATAGAGAAGCGTGAAGTGGGACAAATACTCTGTAAATAAATACAATTTAAATTCACGTCTGGCACACTTAAATGCCCTTTGTATGGAAAATATACGCTCCCTTCAAACTGGAATCATGGCGGAATATCCGGTAATGTCCACTTCGCAGGGCACTTACAGTCAAATATAACAAACGTCTGAAGCAATAAGAGAAACATACAAAATGTGCAGAGCGGGGGTACGCGAGGACTGGAATTGAGAACCGCTGGTGTAGGAGACCAAACAACTATTTCTTGAAGTGCCCTTCTGCGTCATCATCACGTGCCCACCATAGACTGTATAAAAAAAACATGGACGTATTGTCCGTGACGTCACCCGTAGATTTCCGAGGAGCGTTTTTTAAGCTCAAAAGTGGGCGGAGGCGGCCGTCACCATCTTGGCCGCGCCTCACTCCCGGATAATCGAAAATGGGCAAAGAGGCGGGAGCAGGTTGCTGAAGCCACGCCCACCTAGCTCGACGGTGGTGACAGCAGCTGCAATCCACATGTCACTCAAGTGGCCATGCTCTTAATTATGCAGAACTTTAAGGCTTAATATAATTTAAACGGATGAGTTATAAAAAAATTCACCCCCTCACAGTTGTCATGAAGGGCAAAATTAGCTATATAGACCAAAATCATTTTTTGAACCAGGCTGTAAACATGTTTTTTTCTGCTGTAAAGTTGGGCATTTTAACATGGGGAGTCTATGGGATTGACTCCCTTTTGCAGCCAGCCTCTAGCAGCCAGTTGATGAATTACAGTTTAAGTCACTTCCTTGTTGGCTTCACGAGAGAGAGCGGGAGGTTGCCGCTTGGTGCCCACACGGAGGCACCGTCATCATGCAAAGAATCAGCGCAAAGGATCATGGGAGGCCGAAGTGTCCATCAGTTGTACCCTTCGAAATCCTTCATTCCGAAGGGCCCTTTGAAGTGGCCAGTTTTGAGCACTTCGGTTTGGAACGACCCTTCAATATGGCGGCCATGATTGTTTTCACTCTGAAGTGCCCTTCAGAGGGCGATATATCCCGTTTGGAACGCACCGTGTCAAACGCTACAAAATTTCCAGTTTGACATTATCGCCACGTGATATTGTAGTGTGAGAGCAATGACAGCCAATCACAGTGCAGATAAACGGAAAAAGGTAGATCAAAGTTCAAGGTAGATCAAAATAGCTATAGTGTCTTTACGAAAAGCCACAGATTAATCAAATCAACTAACAAGAAATAAATGTAACAAATGCATATATTGTGTATATTTTACATTGCATGATTTTCTTGTGCATTGAAATTATTTAATACACAAGTTTCACAATTTGAGTTGAATTACTGAAATAAATGAACTTTTCCATGACATTCTAATTTATTGAGATGCACCTGTATGTGAAGAGTGAAAAATCACACATTGTACCTACATACTGCTGCATCCTCCTCAACACTGCAAGTCAAACAATCATAAAACATAAAAAGATTTTCTAAACTTTTTGTACAAAAATAATGTATGTGCCTCATACATAATTTGACATAGTCTAACAATAACATATCTTATGATGTGCATGCTGTATTTGATATTGACTTGCCAGTTTTACTGAGTTTCTGGTCTAGGGTTTCCTGCAGTTGAGTCAGAGCTCTCCTTCCACAGTGAAAACAGAACAATAACAGAGGAGGTTCATTAAAAGCTTTCAAGGTTTCCGAAACATCCTTTTCCTGAGAATTCCTTCCGTGTGGCTTGTAAGTTATGTTTATCATCCTGTACACAGCTAATTTTGTATATATACAATGAAATCCCAAAGGGACTAATTTGTGATGTTTTGGGAAAGCTCAGTTGGCATGCATTTACTGTATAAAGACTTGATTTTAAAAGTATAACAGATTTGGCCAAATATAATATTGATTATATATATATATATATTTTTTTTTTTTATTTATTTATTTATTTATAGTTGTAAGCTGCAATTAAGGAGCCAAGTACAACAGAGGCAAAATGAAGAAATGTCTTGAATTACTCATTAAAGGCCAGGGGTCTCCAACCCTGCTCGTGAAGGGCTACCTTACTGCAGACTTCAGAGATTGTCTTATTATTGAGATACAAGGGTCCGCAGTTCTACCACTTGTGAAAGCGTAACGGTCAACTTGAAACGTGTGCCTTACTAACCAATCACATCAGCAATTGACTGTCACACAACTTTGAAAGAAATTCAGTGCAATGCATCACTTAATTTCTTTCAGAGTTGTATGACAGTCAATCGCTGTTTTGGATACCATAGGAATGAATGAGAAGTGCCGCAAATTGATTCCTACCTGTCTCAAAAATTCAGTGACTTCTCTTAGCAAAACTGCATTTTTTCAGTGTAAACGTTAAATCCAGAATGATTGTTTAATGGCAAACAAGATTAGCTGTTAGGCTGTCGATTCATTAATGATTAATTAAGTGATGCCATCCATTAAAAAAAAAAAACTGCTTCAGATTTCCTTCCCTGTGTACCTCTGTTAAGCCCAAAACACACTGCGTGATTTTTGGCTGTTCCAGACGAACTATTGGCATCGTGAAAAAATCGTGATGATTTTTGTGATCGTGGCTCCTAATTGGCGATCTTATGTCGTACAGTGAAAAAGGTTCAAAGACAGCCGAAACATGAGTTTCCAAATTTGCTGTGGTTAATGTCTGTCTGTGTCTATTCTCTATCTGTGCGCCAAATTTCATAACTTTCCCACAAATAGTTCTATGAGCTGCCATAGACTTCAAGAGAGGAGGATGAAGAAGAAGAAGACGAAGACGAAGACGAAGAAGAAGAAGAAGAAGAAGAAGACGAAGAAGAAGACGAAGAAGAAGAAGAAGAAGGTGCTTGGCCCCTAATTAATTGACTTCATTTACAGTATCAAACAAAAGCATTATTAGATATTGTATATCTTAAACTCACTTTTCTGAGTTCTGTGAAGTATATAATGTCTTGAATCTTCTTGTTTTTGTCCTGGATCATCTGATGCACATCTTTCTGTGTCTTCATTAGCTG